CCAGCCCAAGGCGCGCACGAAGAGAGCGCAGATCAGCCTTTAGGTTCAACAGGACAGGAGGAACGCCAGGCGATAACAAAAATGCGCATACGTCTGAGGAGGAGGATGATGATGGGGTTGATTACGTGCTTTTGGTTAAAATGGTCCCTTCCTTGCGGAGGGTGTTATCGCAGAGTATTGACACCTACTGTGTGACCTTTAAGGTTCGTCACCACTTCTTACCTGCGTGTTACTTCCTTTACTGCCTGGTAGTCACTCTGATGGATTCTAGATTGAATGCTTAGAAAATCTGGTTTGGACGGGCAGCTTACTATACCAGAATCGTTGGATTCGATGGGTTGCAGTAGGTTGGGCGGGTAAATCCACTATAAGTTTGATTAAAACTCACGGCTCCCGGTTGGGTCTCATAGCTCAGTTGGCTAGAGTGTTGGTTGCACTGAAGCCCTTCACTTGCTGCCCTCGGTTCGAAGACCGCTCTGCCATTGAGCTACGAGGCTCAACGTGAGCTGCGAATTTAATCAAACTTGGATCGATTTACCCACCCAGCCTACTGCACGTATGGAATCTGACGCAGTAAGCTCACCGCCCAAGCATGATTTAGAAAACAGTCAGTCCGTAGCTCATTTGGCTAGAGCGTTGACCTTAACCAAAGCCTTCCCCTTACTGGTGTGGGTTCGAATCCCACACCGAGGCCGCCGAGTTTTTCACAAATTGATCAAATGAATTCCTAGGGTTTTGTTTTTTCGTGCAGAAAACTTGCACACACTCATGCCTGTCTTCGAATTTAATTTTATTGCCTTCCCCGAGAAGTACCTCAATAAGCCCGGCTTTATTGTGCGGTGGGTTGTGATGCCGTATCAGAGCACAGCGATTGCGCGACCCTCCCCCCAGAAAAGGACCTGGTTTTTCGCTCTTCACCACAACTACACTTTTGTGCTTTACCTTCATGCAAAGTTGTTCTACATAAGTGCATATCCAGAGCTTTTTAAATGCTTTCTCGCCTCCTTGAGTGCCAGTAAAGTTGCAGCTTTGTTGAGCCTTTGGTTTTCCATGGCCCGAGGTTGCCTAAATCTTCATGTCGGAGAGACTGCCATCGTTATCGGTGTTGCTGATAAGCAAACTGGTCTTCGGGAGCGCGATGACCTTGTGTCTTCAAGCCTATCAGGTATCAGGCCATCTTAAAGTGTGAGCTTGCATTTGCCCTCTGATTGGAAGTTCTGCTCAAACACCCTTCAGTTTCGCAGAAATGAAATGCGAACTGAAATTCTGACAGGCTTTCTAAACGAGGAGCGAGGATGTAAGTGGAAGGCTGAACTTTTAATTATTCTACATCATTACTCCCAAGATATTTCGGTCGGGTTTGGACACCGGCTTTTGAACATGGTTCTTTTTGCCCGCCTGCAAAAACTACCTTCTGTAAATTGTGGCTACTTAAGTAGTATGTATTTTTCTCAAAACTTTTTGACGCCTTTATAAATTCAAGTATAGTCTATAAAAGGGATGCACCAAATTATTCTTTCTTCAAGAGTTTTTAATTTGGGTATTGTTAATAATGAGTGATGTCCATTCAAAAACAGTGTATCTGTTCATTGATTCATGCATACAATGTGGTCCACGTCCACTGACGAATTTTATGGGGTCTATATGACTTCCCCTTAATGGCGTCTAATCTATGATGTTTATTGCACATCAAGTATATCGTTTGTAGATAGGAAACCTAGGATGTAAGGGTAACGGTCTGGGAACCTCCATACTACTTAAGTAGTCATTTTTCACATAGTATAAATTTCACAGGTGTTCGGAAAGAAGTGCATGTGAGATGACTAACATATCCTAGGTTTATGCTCTAGGCCGTGTTGTTTGCCCAAAGATTTTCAAAGTTGTGAATATAGCA